GTGTGTGTGTGTGTGTGTGTGTGTGTGTGTGTGTGTGTGTGTGTGTGAGACTGTGTAACCCAATGAAGAAAGAACCTGGGTGGCAGTGGCAGACAGAGCTTTTCTGGCTGCACATCTCCTCCCAGTGAGTCAGTGTGGCTCTTCCCTTCTTTGATGGGTCCCTGCTTTCTTTTTGGTGCTCTGGAAGTTGTCTGGAGGAAAGGAGTCTAATTTTAATTAATTGTGCAGTGAGCTAATCTCATGAGCTTTTCTGCTTCAAGGCATTTTAGGAAAAACAAATGGTTTTAGTCGATAAGGAAAGCCTATTAATGTTGGCGTTTTTGTTTTGTTTCCAAACAAACACAGGAACATTTTTTACTATAGATTTGGTTTTTAATGGATTTTTAAAAATAATAATAAGTAAGATAATAAAACTCTGGGACTTGGGGTTTTTTCCCCTGATTTTCTCAAGATACCAAGTACGTGGCTAGCAATATTTTTTTTTAATTCATTCCAGTCAGGACTTTTTAAATACTATATTGCCTAATTCTATACCAGCCAGAAAAATGCCATTGTCTCTCCTCCAGTGAGATCGCACTTCATTTTGACACTACACTAGATTCACTGTGGTTGAAACTCACTGCCTAACTTAACTCTCTCTACCTTGTAATTGATGATTTTTTTGAAGTGCAACTAAGATATTAATAAATAGTGTGTGATATTCAGAGTTATGTAAACTGGAAGCTTGTATGTGGTTGCTTTTTGGTTGTTTTTTTTTAATTTTTATACTCTCAAATAAACTTGCAATTTCATTCTTTCTGCTGTGTGACTGGTTCTTGACTCACCTTTCTGCCCCCTAACAATATACAAAATGGACGGTCACTCCCCTGCTTAGCGTCTCCAGTAAATCTGTATCGTAATACAGTGAGGAAAAGGGAGGGTATATTGGTGAAACTTCAAAATGTGATGGGTGCTTGGGGTTCTACAGGTGTGATTGGATGAGTAGGGAGAAGCTGTGCACACCAGTTACTGAGATGGCCCCAGAAGGGGAATGAGTTCATTACAACATTCCTTATTCCAAGGAAAGACAAGTGGCTGTGTTAACTTAGAGATTCCCACCACACAGACAAGACTGAACCTTGTGCTGGCTGGTTTTGTGTGTCAAGTTGACACAGGCTGGAGTTATAGAGAAAGAAGGTATTTCCTCCATGAGATCCAGCTGTAAGGCTTTTTCTCAATTAGGGATCAAAGATGGGAGGACCCACTGTGGGTGGTACCATCCCTGGTCTGGTAGTCTCAGGTTCTATAAAAAGCAAGTTGAGCAAACCAAGGAAAGCAAGCCAGTAAGTAACATCCCTCCATGGCCTCTGCATCAGCTCCAGCTTCCTGACCTGCTTGAGTTCCAGTCCTGACTTCCTTTGGTGATGAACAGCAATGTGGAAGTGTAAGCTGAATAAACCCTTTCCTCTCCAACTTGCTACTTGGTCATGATGTTTGTGCAGGAATAGAAACCCTAAGACAAAGCTTAAGCTGGTGTGATTGTAATTTGTTTCAAACCACCAGGAGCTGACATGAATCCCACCAAGAGAGCATCTTCATGTGCCTTTTAAGTTAACGTTAAGTCACATGGTGACTGATGCAACAGAGACAGTGCACAGAATGTCTAGATTTCCAGTAGGATTCCACCACCTGCAGCCACTACAAGTGGTTCCATCCGTGACCAAAATGGAAATCCAATGAAAATTTAAATGCAACCTTCAGACCAAGATTTGAGCCATACATTATCCCCTGCTTCAAAAAAATGGAGCTATTGAGCAAGGATATCACAAAAGCACTGTGCCATATTCTACCCAGGGTTCTCTAAAGCACCAAGCCCCAAATGTTTCTTCATATACTCCCTCCTTCATGTCTCAAGGTGCCTTATGAATCCCAATATTGTTGATCCTATGATAAGGAAATAATTATGGTGATCTAATCCAGAGCAGACATTGGTAACCTTTCTGTAAAGGTTGTAAAAGCCAGGTAGTATGTTTGGCTCTGTAACAGCCACAAAGAGCTCACAGATAATACATAGATGATTGGGTACAGCTGTGCTCCAATAAAATTATAGAAAAATAGGAAGCTGACTAATTTAGACTCGTGGACTCCTAGGGGTCCGTTCCCACATTGGGTTTATAAATCTTAAGCTTAGGCACAGACAGTGGTATAATGGTTTGGGGTATTAGAACCCATGAAGAACTCATAAGGAAGAGTGTCAAAATCCCTGATAGAATTAGACTTACCAGTTCTTTGACCAATGAATAAGAAAATACAGTATTAATACAGGCTCTCCTAATTCTAATAAGATCCCAAAACAGTTGGGTTGAATGGAGAGACCCTAATTAAAATATATATATACCACTGGGAGTCCATCAAGATCATAAACGGAGACAATGTCCAAAGTACATGTTGATATGTGACCTGGAAAATACTTCATTTAGGTTCACCTTCATTTAGGTTATAATCCACAGTTAGTGTAAGTCTATCTATTCAAAGACTCAGCTTGATGAAAAGCACTGTATTGCTGCAAAGGAGGCATACCTAATATTCACATTTAAAAGATGGGGGGGAAAAACTGTGCACAAAGGATGATGAGAAAATTTACTGGTTCCTTTAATGTCCTGTAATCCAGCAAGTTCAGAAAACATAAAGGAGAACCCCCAGTTATACTGGAAATCCAACTCATTTAAAATGAATATTGTCTGTTACAAATGAGTCTGTATGAATGCAGTTGATGAGCAGCTATCATTAACAGTTTATTTCTGGGGAGCTCCCAGGGCACTACAGGCTATTGTTCACAAGAACTGGGTAGTATGATCCTTTTGCTGAAGACACTCCACATGTTGGATATAAGACACAGAGAAATCAACCTAGAACTTAGGTGACTATTTCCTCATATAGGAAGGTAAGGAGAAAAGTTACCACTGTTGTTCCCAGATATGGGCTTTGTCCTATAATAACTTGCCAACGAAGACTGGTCAGGGTCTAACTAACCACTTTCCAACTGGACTTCAGACCTACAGCACAAGAGGAAGTATATGACTCATACTGTAAGCCTCATCAAAAAGGTATGGCTGCGAAAGTCACAGGGCCTAAAGGAGAATGTACTTCTGATGTTTTGCTAAATGGACATCGTAGGCCACCACCTCCTAAACACTTAAGTTTATACTGAGAGACTAATGCTGCTCTCAACTTGGGACAGGGAAATGTCTTTAAGTAGAGAGTCAACAGTACAGAGACTCACAGTTGGTCTCTGAGTATGGAGAATCAATGATGACTGGGTGCCAAGCCTTAAATATGACATCTATTTTCACCCCCTCCATGACTTTGGGTACATCACTGTGAGAGGAGTTGGAAAGATTGTAAGACCTGGGGCAGAAGAAGAAATGCTATGAAATGTTGTTTTCTACGCATGGCATGGCTTTTGCCATCATGAACACAAAAAAAGTATGGGTATCAGCACAAACAAGACTTGTGCCAAAAACAGATGTATGGCAGCTAGTAAGGAAGAAGGGAGTCCATGGAAATGGGAGTGGATGAGAGAGGGTAATGAGAGGTGAATGATTGCAAAAGCATAGCGCAAGCTACTTGTGCATAAACTTCAATTAAAAAGAATTCACTGGCTTTTTAATTACTTGCAAGCCTGAGGACCTGAGTTCAAATCCCCAGGACCCACATAAAAACTTTTACATAGTTTAGCCACCTGTAATCCCAGCACTCCTTCAGGGAGATGGGAAGCAGAGACAGACCAACTAGTCTATCATACTTGGGAGGCTGTCGAGGAGAAGAAGATGAAAGGCAAGAACCAAAACCCAAGGTTGTCTTCTGATCTCCACATGTGTATCATGATATGTATACCTACATTCACACACATACAAATTTATGCCAGCACGTTTAAATCCCTCCCCCAATTTTTCAGCCCTATTTTGCTCAGTATTGGCTTCATGGGGATAAAGAGAGACCCCCTGCTAGAATTTCTTGACACCCTTTAGCTCATGTTTGGACATCCTTAGTCATGTAGCTATTATGGGTAGGACTTAATCCTTTGATTGACAATACCACCAAAGTTATATGGGGTAAAAAGGGGCAATTACTATATAAAAGATCTAACAGTAGTCAAAACCTCAACATACCTACTGTAAAGCTTCACTGAGGAAAGGGGCACAACTAACCCAGATCTTAATACACATAAGAAAATAGCACAGGCTTTAGGCAATAAAGAAGTAGATCTCAACCTTCCTAATATAGTTCGCCATGTTGTGGTGATCCCCACCATAACATGATTTTCATTGCTACTTCATAACTGTAATTTTGCTACTGTTATGAGTCATAATGTCATTCACCTCTTAGGTGTTGCCACCACAGGTTGAGAACCACTGCAGTAGAGCTACAGGCATTAAATCTTTTGCAAAGTACAGAGGCAGTGTCACAGAGCATCACAGGAGACAAGCCTTTCTCCAAACCCAGAGGCAGGAAATTTTAAGACAATGCATTTGAAAGTGATATTGTGTGTGCTTTCATGAGATGGTCATCTAGGGTTGACCTCACAGACATGAACATCTGTAGGAGGAAATGTACCCTATAAATAGAACAAAGTAACACCCAAACTTCAGAACTGTCCTTCAACCTGTGCCCTCCCCCCTGCCCTGAGCAGGCCAGAAAGACCTTGTTTACCACAGTAGACCTAGTAATAGGTGGAGTTATCCACCTTGGCTGCAGGTACAACTTTCTACAGGAACTTAGAAGAATAGACTGCCCGCTGAGCTTGCCTTGAGATATAATCCTGCCATAACAAAGGGTGGGTTCTCCAACCCATCTCTGTCTGAAACAAAGAATGGGTTTGGTGGGGCTTTCCCTTTAAGTAGAAGAGCTGAATATTAAACTTTGAGCCTTGATAAGAAAATTTTGTCTTGGCTTCATGCTTCTCTCGCC